AAAAGTTGGTTAAAGTGCCTGTCTGTTTGAATCTCAGCAGGGCTTTTTCTACAGACACCATGAGTCTTGTATTAACTTGAGAGAATAAGTTAGAATAATAAGTTGATAGTAACATAAAGAATAAAAAGAGCTGTCACCGTCAGTAAAGTGTAGTTCTAAACTGAGGACACACATATCTCCAAAAGTAAGAAGAAAGAGCTTTAATGCCCTGGGTCAGGAGACAGTTTTGAACCAGTTTTCATACACACACTTACGCTTGTGATCAAGTGTTATGTTCAGCTGATTTTGCTGTGGAAGATGAAGTGAATGTTGTGATTACACAGAACTGTTCCTATCTTAAATATGTAAAGTTAAACTATGTATTTTCCATTTCAAAATATTTACAGATTTGTTTTGGGGTTTTGAGCAATCACATTGGCAATAGGGTCTTTTTGTATTCCTTTTCAAAAGCTTTTGACCCTGTATTGTTGATTTAATGCTTGTTTTCAAATGAATTTCAAAATCTTTGCCCCGTGTGAGGCTCGAACTCACGACCTTCAGATTATGAGACTGACGCGCTGCCTACTGCGCCAACGAGGCGTGTGCCGTGTTGTGAACATCTGTGTGTCATACCGCTCCCTCACACTGCAGAACGGGGGAGGGAGCGTGTCCTGTTTCAACTGACATGCACAAGGGTGTGTAACTCATGTTTAGAGTTACACACTAAACATGAGCTCTGGCCTCTTGCAGTAGATCATTAACAGTTGGCAATCTTGCAGTTTTGTATGCAGGATTCATTCAGCCATTAATACTTACCGTACTTGTAGCTTTTGTTCATATGACAAAAAAACATTTAAATCTTTGAAGCCTTTTTGTAGCTAAGGCCACAAATCTTAAGCAGCCACTGTTTATAAAAACAAACTGTACAGGTTAAACTTGAAATTGTGTCTTGGGAAACATTTGACAATTAGTAATGTCCTATTTGTTTGGGCTGTAATAAGAATAGAGAAGATTGTTGGTAATTATGCTGTCTGCACTTACAGTACGTGTTTTCTTTCTTTCTGTGTCTTCTCCCACTGTTTCCCTTCCCTGTTTCTGTTTGATTGCTGTTTTCTAACACAGTGAAGAACACACAATGACATTTTCATTTAAAACAGATGTTATTACAAAAGGCTGTCTTCCTATTACCAGTAGGTGGCCTTGGGGCCATGATTGAATGCATAACCTGTAATAGTCCTCAGTCTTGGGTTCTTAAAGAATTACAATTAAAAAAAGTGAATGCAGGATTTCATATGTTTTACGAGAAATTCAGAACGTCAAACGCGTCATATTACGTCACATAGGGGAAGCAACTTTCTCGGACTCCTTCTCTGCCCAATTCACGGTAGTAGTTGGTAGTTGGTTTGAGCAGTTGTGATTTAGTGAGCTGCTATTTTTCGGTAATTTTACATTGCATTTCACAGGTTGCACAAACTCCAGCCTGTCAGGACATCGAGTCCACAGTTTCCCTAACAGGAAAAGGAACGGAGCTAGCTTTCGTTCCTGGGTGCGT